AGGACTCCACTCACATACTCCATTAACCCCTCGCTGACTGAGACCCAGCGCACCTTATGGAGCTACAGATCTGAACATGTTCTTAAAGGGCAACCCCACCCAAAACTCACTATATGGTGGATGAAAAGTGACCGAAAGTAATCCAGCGATGAGATTTCCTCATTCCTACTGGAGGAAATCTCATCATTGTGGGAGGGGCAGAGACACAAACTACTGGAGGGAAATCTCATCATTGTGGGAGGGGCCGAGACACAAACTACTGGAGGGAATTCTAATCATTGTGGGAGGGGCCGAGACACAAACTACTGGGGGAAATCTCACTATTGTGGGAGGGGCGGAGACACAAACTACTGGGGGAAATCTCACTATTGTGGGAGGGGCAGAGACACAAACTACTGGAGGGAAATCTCATCATTGTGGGAGGGGCGGAGACAAAAACTACTGGGGGAAATCTCACTATTGTGGGAGGGGCAGAGACACAAACTACTGGAGGAAATCTCATCATTGTGGGAGGGGCAGAGACACAAACTCACAAACTATTGTAGGAAATCTCACCATTGTGGAAGGGGCAGAGACACAAACTACTGGGGGGAATCTCACCTTTGTGGGAGGGGCAGAGACACCAACCACTGGGGGGAATCTCACCATTGTGGGAGGGGCAAAGACACAAACTACTGGCGGAAATCTCATCATTGTGGGAGGGGCAGAAGCACAAACTACTGGGGGGAATCTCACCCTTGTGGGAGGGGCAGAAGCACAAACTACTGGGGGGAATCTCACCCTTGTGGGAGGGGCAGAAGCACAAACTACTGGGGGGAATCTCACCCTTGTGGGAGGGGCAGAAGCACAAACTACTGGGGGGAATCTCACCCTTGTGGGAGGGGCAGAAGCACAAACTACTGGGGGGAATCTCACCCTTGTGGGAGGGGCAGAAGCACAAACTACTGGGGGGAATCTCACCCTTGTGGGAGGGGCAGAAGCACAAACTACTGGGGGGAATCTCACCCTTGTGGGAGGGGCAGAAGCACAAACTACTGGGGGGAATCTCACCCTTGTGGGAGGGGCAGAAGCACAAACTACTGGGGGGAATCTCACCCTTGTGGGAGGGGCAGAAGCACAAACTACTGGGGGGAATCTCACCCTTGTGGGAGGGGCAGAAGCACAAACTACTGGGGGGAATCTCACCCTTGTGGGAGGGGCAGAAGCACAAACTACTGGGGGGAATCTCACCCTTGTGGGAGGGGCAGAAGCACAAACTACTGGGGGGAATCTCACCCTTGTGGGAGGGGCAGAAGCACAAACTACTGGGGGGAATCTCACCCTTGTGGGAGGGGCAGAAGCACAAACTACTGGGGGGAATCTCACCCTTGTGGGAGGGGCAGAAGCACAAACTACTGGGGGGAATCTCACCCTTGTGGGAGGGGCAGAAGCACAAACTACTGGGGGGAATCTCACCCTTGTGGGAGGGGCAGAAGCACAAACTACTGGGGGGAATCTCACCCTTGTGGGAGGGGCAGAAGCACAAACTACTGGGGGGAATCTCACCCTTGTGGGAGGGGCAGAAGCACAAACTACTGGGGGGAATCTCACCCTTGTGGGAGGGGCAGAAGCACAAACTACTGGGGGGAATCTCACCCTTGTGGGAGGGGCAGAAGCACAAACTACTGGGGGGAATCTCACCATTGTGGGAGGGGCAGAGACACAAACTACTGCGGGGAAACCCTACTATTCAGAATAAAGCGGGGGATGGGAATCCCGATAATTTACTCGTTTGTGTTACAATTTCAGGAGTTTTCAAACTCTCTTAAAATCGGGGAAAAGTTTCCAATTTCTTTTTTCCTCATAAATTCTGGAAAACACTGAAATTAAAATAAACGTATAAAATCAGGTGAAGAATTATAAACGGCGTTCGGTTCCACGCAGGAGATTAAAGCCCTCTGGGAGATCCTCCTCGGGACGAATCTGCGAACAAAACAAAAAAAAAAAGCGGTAAATGCCGAGCGCTCAGGTAAACAAAAAGCTATTACGGATAACCCTCCCGCCGCTATCAGCCCGCCGCGCCAATTGTCAAATCTCTTTTTTTTTACGAGGTTGAAATAATAGTTTGGGGAGCGCCGCCGCCAAAAGTTCATTACGGAGAGACAAAAGACTTCTGTATAATCAATAGCGGAAAACCATTATTATTGACTTTAAATTAATGAAAAGGAGAGGGGGAGCCGCCAACGCCGCCGCAGATACCGCGGCGTGGAAAAAATCTTTTTTTTTACAATAACGGATTAGCGGTATCCAGATAACCGACTTAGGCGCTTTTATCTTAAATTAATACCGCGCTCTTCTTTTGTTATTAAGTTTATTTCTGGAAATTTCACAAAAATTGGTCTGCAATGCTTCCGAACGCGCGAGGGGAGCGACGCAACGCCGCGACGTCCGACCTCCAGGGGTCAAAATCACGACATTGCTGCCAGATTTTATGACTACGCCCCCCCCCCTTTGTTTGTGACGGATTCCGGCACTGAGAACGCATTGCGTGTTCATACGTTCGAGTTTTGCGTGCCGCGGCGAGAACTTCAGCGTCGCCCCGCAGCGGATATTTACGGGTAAATTTTATTTTGGACTTTTTATAGCTTCAATTTTTACATTTTTGATGTTATTGTTGCCGAGAGTCTTTCCTGCGGATTACTAAAACGCGTCTCGCTTTTCCCTCCGCGCCCC